TCTTGGGTTAAGACTAGACTAAAATTTGGTGTTAGGATAGGGTTTAGGAGAGAAGCATACAGTGTAGTCTTGAACACTGAAGTGTTCAAATGGTCTTGAATTCATCTCCAGATGGTAGAAGTCATCTTCTTTAGGTTAAACCTAGAGTAATTAAGATTGAGAAAGAGTCGGAAAATATTGTTATTTCTGAAGGCTGCCAAAGCAAAAGATAGGCTGGTGCTGGCAGGCCCATACGGGCCACAACTCGATCATCAAAGAGTGGAAATCATCCATCTGAGAGTTGGAGGGGTATGTTTGTTTCTCATTAGGATCTGCTATGCAAAGATAAAAGCTGATGCTGACAATGCTGAATGGACTAGAATTAATCACAGAATGGAAGGGATCACCTCTCTAGGATTTAAGTCAGGATTCCCGAGGGATCAGGCTGGAAAATTACACCTTGGATTCTGCCAGGGCCATCAAGGTAGAAAGAGGTTTGATGCTGGCAGGGCCGAAAGGTAAGACTGAGTTTTGAGGGGTTACCCCTTTATCGAAAGTAGGGGTTCTCCTCATGTCAAAATTAGTGTTAGGGATACGTTTGGGTTAGAGGAAAGAATGGGCTGGAGAACTGTATTTATTCCTGAATTTTGTTGGGATTGCCATCTTAAATTCAGGATGCTGAAACAGTAGAATGGGTGTGGTAGAGCTTAGTGGAATATATATTTTATCTGTTAATGACCAGCATCACCTCTCTTGGTTTTAGAACAGAAGTTGTGTTAACTCACCAGAGTAGGATGAAAACTGGGCTGTATATGCTTTGGATCATAGCAGTAACAATTCATGTATTAAGACTACAGTTAATGTTTGGTTTAGGTACAGAGCTAAGGTTTCAGATCTGGACAGAGAATTGTGTGACCATCGTAATCCTCCAGGACTATCAAATAAGAAGGAGGACTGGTACTACTGAGATTGCATGGGATACTCGGACGACAACACAGTCACCTCTTTTAAATTTAAAGTACAGTTAGGGTGGAAACTGGTATTAGGGGGCGAGAGAAACAAGATTAGAGAATTCTGGTTGTAGGACCACTAGGTCTTGCAATGGCTGTCACCCCCTGTCCTTGGTTATGGTTCAGTTTAAGGTTAGCGAAAGAAGGGCATGAACAGCTGCTGTTTTATTTGAATGCTGCAGGAGCCACTGAAATAGGATGAGGTTTGGCACACAGGAAAATCTAATGGGCAACAATCTGGGCTTGGATGGCTGTCCTAACTCTCCTCATTCAAGGTTAGTGGTAGGGTTAAGAACTGAGTGAGCAGGTGCTGGAGCACTTTGCTTATTTCTGAAGTCTACAGGGATTATAAACTAGGTTGGGGGTTGGTCCTGATAGGATAGAATGAGTTATTTCTTTCTAGGAGGGAAAGGGTTACTTTCTAGGAGGGAAAGCATTGAATATCTGTGCTCATTTCTTCTTTTTGCAGGGGCCGCTAAAACCTAACCCTGACTAAAACCCTGAGTTCCTGGTCTGCCACAACAGTGTCTTAAACTCTTTACACACCAGCCAACCCCAGTCTTCATCTTCATCCTGACAGCAGTAACCTTGCTCATTAACACTTGTCCAAAACCCTAACCCCAATATTACAGGCAGGCTTGTCACTTCTGCCCAGACGAGGCTAACCAAACCCTAATCACTCCTGAAGGCGGGTGTTCTTCCTAGCACTATGACTCTTACAAGGGGAGAAGCCCCACTTCTCCCTAACCCTAGCTGAGCACTGGACTCCATGGCTCCAACCCCTTCTTGGTGCTTATATTAAGCCTGTGGATCCAGCAGCAAACTGCACTCTTCTGCTCTTGAATTCTCAAATTCTCTGAACTGAACACACGAGACAGCAAAGACCTGGTCCTGCTGCCAGTCCCAGACAAATCTGTGCTTTTCTGTCCTGACCCACGGAAGCCCCCAGCTTGGTCTTTATAGGATCCAGTGACATGCACATGCATTACAGTAAAGTCAGATCAACCACCCCTGTTCTCCATCCCTGAGAACTCTGAGCAGGGTTAAGCTGAGTAACAGGGTCAAGGATGGAGTAGAGTTAGGGTTACTGTGCAAAAAAGCAGAGGCTGAGGAGCTAGCTAGAAGATATGTCCTGCAAGGCTGTGTGGGTAAGGAAAAGGGTTAGTGTATGCTGGAGAAAGAGGCCAAGGTTGAGATTAGGGCAAGTGACGATAACTAGCCTAGAATTTAATTTATGATTAGGATGAAAGAAGAGATTCAGGTTTTGGAGATGGATGAGGGAGAAAAGATGACGACTGCAGGAGCAGAAAAAATAGGTACAGTGCTGGTTGGGACAAACGTTCAAGAAAGGTTTGACTGACTAAATTTTAAACTCATGTTTGGAACTGGCGTGGCTACAGATCAGGCTGAAGATATATTTCCATTTCTCATAGGAGTGCAGCTTGAAGGAAGTGCTGTATAGCAAGTTAGGCCTACTGCTGTGCTGTGCTGAAAAGGCACAGGACCTGAAAAGGTTTGTTCAGCAGAAGAACCTGTAAAGGCTGAAGAAATAGTAAGCAGGCTGGGGACATCTAAGGAAAATCAGCTGTGTTTTTTTCACTAAGAAGTGCTTCCTGAATCTCAAGTTAACAATGGTCTTGTGGTTGTGTTTGGATCTGAGACATAAGAACTGGGCTTGGGCAAGAGCTGGCGCAAAGGCAAGCCCTTGAGCAAAGGCTGCCCAATGAGCTCTATCTTCCACTTAAGCTCAAGATTTTGTTGGACTGTGGATTCAGTTTGGGACTGAAAAACTCTTATCTATTGCTGCAGTCTTTATGAGGTACAAAACTGGGAGGAGAACTGCCATCAGCCTGGACAGATGTGTCAAACATACTGTGGGCAAAGACGAATGTATTGACTGAAAAGATATGGGTAAAGATCGATTACTGAGTTATAGAGCAGACTCAGAAGGGAGGGATGCAGCTATGGACTTAGAGAGGTACTTGGGCAAGTGAGCTGGGAAGAGGACTTAGCTGCTAAAGTGAGATTTAAGATTAAAGATACCAAGGTGCTTAAAGAGCTTTATTTATGCCTGGAACCTATAATGTCTGCAGGGCTGGTTTAAGCATCATATTGTTGACAGTATGAAGCCATCAACCAATTATGGTAGACAAACTGCATTTGCTGCTAGTCCCACGGGCCAATTAAGTTGAGGTTAGGGTTGAGAAAGTCCCTTTACTGGAAAAGATATGATGATGTGTTTTAGGCCAGGAGTAAGATTTGTGCTGAAGATCTGGTATTGTTATGTGATCCTGCAAGGCTGACAGTATTTGGGAGATGGGTGATGTCGTTAGCTGTAAGAGATCAAGCTGTAGCAAGCAAGAACTGCTTTGTAGGAGAATAAAGTCTGGTATTTGGAACAAAAGAAGCAAATTCCTAAATACAGCTGCAATTAGTTTTGGAATGGCCAAGTGTTGCTCTGGCCTTAATACTGGAGTGAACATCAGACTTTGTGTAAAAACTGAAGAACTAGGTTAATTCACAGTTCCTGCAAATGCCACAAGACATGCTGGAGAGCTGGGCATAGCGAGGGAAAGAGAATGGGATAGGATGGGCTATGTTTGCCAGACTGAATTTAGGCAAAGTTATTCATTCAGGTTCACACACGGCTGAGAAGTCAAATATACTCCTAAGTGGGGTGTGTGCTCTAGTGCTGTAGTGAGTGCTGATGCCTTTAGAGTCAGTTGGGCTAACATTTAAGTTCAGTTCACTGGGCCAGAGTTTAAGGTTATGATTAGCCCCTGGAGCACAAGTGGCTGAAGTGTCGGGTTTAAGACTATGCTCCAGGCCAATATGAGAGCTGAGCTGGAAGAAATTTTGGGGCAGAATTAGCTGGCCTAACAGGATTCAAGCTAAGGCCTGCATAGCAGGAGCTGAAGAGCACTATTTACATCTAGATCCTGCAAGGGTTGTTACATTTGAATGTAAGTTGGCCTGACGAATTAAACCGAGTGATTAATCTAGGGATCAAGTATGGTTTGGAGTCAGCTTTAGTGACATCATGGCCTAGTACTGCACTGACCATTAGAACTAGGGCAAAGACTGCTGACAAAATCACATGGGGCCAAGGTTAGATATGGGACTAGCAGGCGTAAGTGTAGGGCTAAGTATTGTCATTATGGTTAAGGTTTGGTACTGGAGGGACTGAAGAGCTATGTGAAAGTCCCTCCTGCAAACTAGTGCAATGATCCTTTTTATAAGGGAGAGAGGGGCTGCACAGGAAAAAGTCTAACAGACAAAGGAAAGGGGAGAGAGCAAAAAGCGAGCAGCACTTAGCCAGGCTTTGGGACCACAAGGGAATGGTTTAATCATCTGTATACATGTGCACATCTGGTTTCCCCAGTCTTTAACCTTTGTCCCATCCTTCATGTCTCCCCTGAATCTCCCTCACCGCGTACTCCCTCAGTCCTGGGTGTCTCAGTGTCACTTAGACTTTCCTTTCCTTTTGTTCCTTTGCGTCCTTCCCATTTCTAGCACAAGGCAGAGGCAGCAAGAGAAGAGAAAGACAAGGGCAGCAGCTTTATGGATCCCACCCCCATGTTCAAAATAATAAAAATAGCAATAGTAATAATAATAATAATAACGGTGATGATGGTGATGATGGAAGTGCTGTGGCAGCATAGCTTTGCTAGCCCAGGGGAGCGACGGAGCTGAGGGTGGCAGGCGTTTTGCCACAGGCCTTCGGGGAAGGGGAGGAAACCTTTCAGGACCGGCAGCTCCCAGCGAGCTGGCTCTGTCCCGGGGCTCTCCGGGTGGCCGCGGCAGCGATGTCCCCACAAGACCCTGTCTCCCGGCACTTGCTATTTGCACAAAGCCCG